TGATGTTATGTTAATTGTTCCTTTAGTATTTGTTGAAACTATATCTGTTTTCATATATTTCTTGCCTATTTCTATTATTTTAAAAAAGCTTTAAATGACTTTTTGGTATTCTTTATCTATTTATTGATTAAAGATTTGTAGAACTTCCCCCCTGAAAAAAAAAACCAACCCCCCACAGTAACCATGTTTTAGATGTGTTACAAATACATTTCTATTCTATTCCTTGTCCTTTAACTTTTTATATGTATGTTACTATATAGTTAAATGTTTAATATGGCCAATTGTCAATATTTAATTTTATAGCTTCTGGGTTTGAATATTTTACTTCAGGTCATGAAAAATAGTTTTATTTTCTTCTAAAACTCCTTAGATTCTACATATTGACTTTTTAACTCACCTGAATATTTCTTGTATATTTCTGTGCTGGTGTCATGTTGGTTTAATTGCTGAGACTTTATAACAGTTTTAATTTTTTTAAATATTTTATAATTAACTTTGATATTTAAAAAAATAAAACCAACTGCACTTAAGAAAGAAAGAAAGAGAAAGAGAGATGGAACTCCTACCTTTTGTGACAACATGGATGGAACTGGAGAATATTAAGCTAAGTGAAATAAGCCAGTTGATGAAAGACAAATACCATGATCTCACCTATAAGTGGAATCTATTCAACAAGATAAACTAATGAATAAAATAAACCACAGACATGGAAACATGGAGCAGACTGAAAGTGACCAGAGGGGATGGGGAAAGAGGACAATGGTGGAAAGAAGTAGAAAGGACTAGACAAAGAACATGTATGAATGACCCATGGACATGGACAATGGAGTGGGAATTTACTGTGGTACTGGGGGGTGGGGGTGGGATGGGTGGAGGGGGGTAAAGGGGTAAAAACTGAGACAACTCTAATAGAATAAACATGATTTATAAATTTTAAAAAGTTATAAACAAAATTAAAGTATTCACAGCTTAAGAAAAAAAAAGACACAGAAAACATTAAAACAGACCCATCAGAAATAAAGAATGCAATACCTGAAATAAATAATAAACTGTAAGGAATAAACAGTAGGTTAGATGAAGCAGAGGATTGAATCAGTGATTTGGAAGACAAGGTAGGAAAACCACACCCAAGAAGAGCAGCAAAAAGAAAAAAGAATAAAAAAAAAAAATGAAGAGAGCTTAAGAAACCTTTGGGACAAACGAAGCATAACAACAAATGCATTGCTGGAATACTAGAAGTAGAAGAGAATGAGCAAGAGTTCAAGAACCTGTCTGAAGAAGTAATGACTGAAAACCTCCTTAATCTGTTGAAGGAAAAAGATACACAAGTCCAGAAAGCTCAGAGAGTCCTAAACAAGGTTGACCCGAAGAAGATTACACCGAGACACATCATAATTAAAATGACAAGGCTTAAAGACAAGGAGAGAATCCTAAAAGTCATAAGAGAAAACCAGGTAGTTATATACAAGGGAGCAGCAATTATACTGTCATTTGATTTCTCAACAGAAACATTTTAGGCCAGAAAGGAGTGGCATGAAATATTTAGGGTGACAAAAAGCAAGGACTTACTACCAAGGCTACTTTAAACCCATCAAGGTTATCATTTAAAATCGAAGGAGAAATAAGGAGCTTCCCAGGCAAAAAAAAAAAAAAAAAAAAGGATAAAGGAGTTTGTTAACACCAAACCAATACTACAATAAAAACCACTAAATATGTATCTATCAATAATCACCTTAAATATAAATAGCTTAAATGCTCCAACCAAAAGATATAGGGTAACTGAATGGATAAGAAAACATGACCCATGTATATGCTATCTCCAAGACATCACCTCATTTGCAGCTAGAAAAGGATGTAGACCATTAGATTTTAAAAACTTTTCCCCAAGGTAGATCTTTAAATGAAAGCTCTAAGATGGTATTTTTAGAAAAGATGGAAGAGGAGCTGCCCTGATAGTGGTAATAGAAATCCTGTTGTGAGTATTGCCTTCACCACAGATTCTGTGGAACTCTTAGGATCATTGTTAGGGGAGCAAACCCCACAGATACCGGCAAAACTAATTAGTCCAAAAAGTTTGATGAGAAAATAGTTAAAGATTTTCCCAATTGTCTTGGTGTTTTGGCATTGAGTATTTGTTGACAAGACAACACTGGAGGGGATTCAAAATCCCAGCACAGGCTTATCTTTCTTACAGATAATTTACTTTTTTGAGTCTATTTTTTTCATTGAAAATTCCTTATAAATATACTATGTTATAAATGGTACAGTGAAGAAAATGTGGATTTTGGTGTCACACATGAGTTCTGATCCAAATACTTACTAGTTGTGCAACTTCAGGCAAGTTATTTCTATTTAGTAATTATCAGTTTATTCATTCAGAGCAAATATTTATTGGAGTGCTTTATATGTATAAGACACATACAAACAATGAGCTTGAGATATAAAGGTCAAGAAGACAGAAATGATACTACCTTACAGCACAGAGGTGGGACCAGGTGATAAATAATTATAATATTTATTTAGATTATGATTATTATATATCTATAAACATGAAGAACAGAGAGGTTCAGTCCTGGATGTTCAGGGAAACTAAGGAGAGTTCAGGGGTTTTATAGCTCCTTTTTTAAAAATTTCAACTTAATCTTTTAAAAAACTTATCAGAAATAGAAGGAATAATATATTAGACTTTTATGTACTCATACCTCAGCTTCAACAATTTTCAATAGCTGTATATGCATCAGTGTGACATAGGGAGTCAGAAGCCTTTCAGGCAAATGGAGTAGCAAGTGCATAGATCCTGAGGTCCTGGGGTACATATGGCAACTGGAGGGAAGGCTAATATGAAAAGCATAAACATCACTGAAATGTTTGTGTGGGGAATAGGTTGTATGTCTGTGATGCTTGAGGGGCAAGAGAAGATTAGGGAATACTGGTTAGGAGGCTACCAAGTAGTTTGGGCAAAAGAAATTAGTGGCATGGAATACATCAGTGGTAGTGGAGAAGATGAGAGCTTTACACATGGCACGATAAGAGAGACAAAAATATTCATGAAAATTCTCAGGTTTCAGCATGAGCTAATGGGTGGATGTCACTGATACTAACGAGATGGAGAATTCTAAAAAGGAGCTATTCTGGAAAGAGAAAAATTTAGGTTAGAGATCCACTCCAACAGACAAGTAGTCATGGTGTTATAGCTGGAGCACCATGAAGAGGTCTAGTTGCAGATAAAAAAATTCAGAGCCAAGGTATAGACACAGTGAGATAGCCAATCTGTGTCATAAAGCCTAAGTGAGGCAACAATGGCAAATCTCTCTTCTTTGTGGAGTCCCAGTCAGAAGCCCAATATTCTAAATTCTAAGCTAGATTTAGAATCTGTTTTATCTCATTCTAAGTGTTAACAGTAATAGTATTAGCAATACTGTCTACGTTAAGCTAATATGTCTTCCTTTCATTTTTTTCTCTATTACAGAGTGGACATATTATTTACTGAACATTTGTGGCTTTAGGCATTGGAATTCAAACACAAGATGATGAAAGAACAGCGACTAGGGAGGAGAGAAAGACTGAAAATGGATAAATTGCAAACCAATATTCTTATAGAGGAACAAAAAAGTGCTTTTGAAGCTTAAGACCAAACTCCACTTTTGCCAAACTATTAAGAATCCTTTCCTGATCCTCAGGTTGACACTTTTTCAACTTGCTTAATTCATTATTTTAGTTTTTTCTACAATAGACACTTTACACAGAATACTTCTACTTAGACTTTGTAACCTAATTCTGTTTCTATTCAGCTTCTATTTCTCTTCCCATTATACGTCATTTTAAATCTACTTCTCAAAGTGCTGAGACATTTAAGTATATTCACTTGTGGGATCTAAGGAATGGTGGCTGCCCCGAGTTCTCAGAGTCATCAGACCAGCTGCAAAAACGTCATCTGGGAACTTGTCAGATATGCAATGGTTATTAACAGCTACAAACATTTGACAAGAAGAGAATTCTGAGAAGCTCTACATTAAATTACAACAGCCGGAGAGGGAGACAGAGAGAGAACTATTAATCCGTTAATGGCTGCTGGCCAGTTAACAAAAGGCTGCTTGCATTCCTTTTGCTTGTTGAAATTTTGGATTAATTTCTACGTGGTTATTTTCCCAGGTTATTTTAGCCAGGCACCATCGAATACCAGGAGCCTCTGCTTCTTGTTTACACGTGGGCATTTCTGAGTGCTGTCCAGAGCTCTTCTGTAACAGTGGACATCTCTTTTGGAGGATTCCATGCCTATACCAGAGCTGACCTAGCTTCGATTTCTCCCACCCCTTTGCCTATAGCCAACGTAAATTCTTTCAGGCAGCTTGCATATTTTCTACCCCCTTCACCCACTTGATGTATAAAAATGCTTGGAAACTCCTAGAGAATGTACGTATTGTCTTTCATGTCCTTTCACATTGTCTTTTTGCCTAGGGTTTTTGGCTCAATAAGACCTTTCTTAAAGACTTGCAGCTGTGGGGTTAACATTTCTTTTGTTTGTTTAACATTCCTTAAGTATTCCTTATTAAATTTGTACCCTACTTCGGGTTTTCACTTTATTTTTATTTAACGTCAGTTTTTGCCTGATAAAACAGGCAAAACATAAGATCTTTACTTGAAAAACAACAGTTGGAGGCTGACCCTTGGGTAAGGGACCAGCCCAGCAATTCCCCTACTAGGAGCCGGATGGCCAACGGTGTGGCCAGCTCAGAGAGTGCTCTGCAGCATCCCGAGGCACAGAAGCGAGGTTGAACCCCAGGGCAGCATCCTTTCCTACTCCTCGCGCCAATGAGCTCCTTCCCGCCAAGGTTCACAACGCACCCGGAGCAGCCCATTTGTGCCCAGAAAACACGGATTGGCAGAGAAGCCCCGCCCCACGCCAGGATGTCCTCCAATCGTAGCTCGCGCTATGACGCAAGCCCTGGGGAGGCGGTGCGTACAGAGAAGCCCCGCCTCTCGCCTGTTCGTCCGCCAATTGCAGCGCGCGGTGGGGCGCGCCTTGGGTCGGCAACGCGCGCTCTTGTCGAGTCCTGTTGCACGGGAGCTGGGAGTTTGGAGATGCCTGGTGGCGGTAACTCTCGCGGCAAAAAGGTAGCTGAAGTCTGTAGCCGACGCCGCTCCTGCGGTCAACGCATCCTGCTTGGTCTTCCACCCCACCCGCTTGCCCGCGGGGCCTAGAGCTCTCGTGGCTGGCCCCGGCCCGGAAGGGGCGAGACGTGGGTGCTGTGTTGGTGGGGGTCCCTGGCAAAGCTGCGGCCAGTACCGCCGTGAGCGTGTACAGAGCCTGCGTTGCGGAGTGCGGCCCCAGAGGTTGATCTCCGGTCCAAGTGTGCGGACTCAGGAAGTTAAGCCTTCCTGGTCGGATGCAGAGGTCAGGGAGAGGAGCCCGCTGGGCCAGAGGTGGAAGGAACACTTCCCTGAAAAGGGCATGGGGGTCGCAGCCAAAGGGGTGACGAAAGTAAGGTGCTGGATGGAGTTCATCTGGAGCAAGCGTGTGAGATATTTATCCTCGATGGTGTCGGGTAGTTTTTTATTTGTCTCTTTCTGGCTCTTGTAACACACCGAGACAGTAGTGGATATTGGAATAGCTCTGCTGTCGTTCCCCCCCTCTCCGCCCCAGGTAGCTGTTGCCACACTTTCCATTCTACTCAATTTTTTTTCCGAATCTTTCTCTTCCTGCTTCAGTGAGAGGAGTCTGAAGTTAACTGCTGCCAGTTTCTTATACCAACGTCTGCCACAGTTACCACGGAGTACGTGTGTAGAAAATATTGCATGAGTGATATTTAAAATATACCTGCACACTTCTCCCCGTCATGAATTGTGTTTCTCCTTGACATGTGTCCTGTACCCTTTTAAAGCTCTTTATAAGTTTCTGGCTTACAAATATGCTTGACTCATCATACTAAAACAAATCTTTAAAAAGCCAATATATAGTGCCTACTTTATTGACTCATTTTCCTTCCTGAAAAACCAAAAAAACCTTCTTGAAAAAAATGCAGTCCACATATACTGATTCAACTTCCACCACGATGTTGCCTTGTTTCTGGTATATCATTGATTGTCAGACTTACTGTCAGTTTTGTAACTGATTTTAGGGAGTAAATGAAACCTATGTCAAACATACCTATCAAGTGTAAAATAATCTGATTTCAGAAATAGTGACATGGGGGGGGGGGATAATATGAAATTGTTAAATCCAGTATAAGTTATTTACTTGGTTACTCTAGCATTTGACACATGCACCACCTGCTTTTATTTATTTATTTATTTATTTATTTATTTATTTTGGACCATTCCTGAATATTAGTATACTGACTCTTTTCCTGCCTTGCAGCTGCTCATTTACTGCTTTTTACTTTCCTCCTGTTGTTCTAATTTTTGATCTCGTACTTTTTCTCACTTAACAAGTTTGTCCTAAGCTATCTCATACATTGATGTTAGCTGTCATTGCTACCTAGATGAATTTCAGATCTGTATTTAACCATTTCCTGTGAGATCAGTTTAAATTCAGTGTAGCATTAAGTCATTCTCTCACTGTTAGTCCACTAGGCCCTAACAATTGCTCCTGTGTTTCATTGATTCAACTTATTGCTAGTGATAGTTTTGGCTAAGAATGCCTAAGGCACTTGCCTAGGCCCATATTACTTGTAACAAGCCCTCCTCACCCCCTACTCCCCCACATTTCCCCCCATCACAGGCAAATGTGGCTGGACTAGACCTTGTGGTTGTTATGGTTGTAGGATGCACTTTAGCAAACATCAGCAGGGAACTTTGAGGAACAAGACTTACTACTCACTGATATTGGAGGGTACTTTGTATACTCGAGGGCCACACAGCAAGGCTGAGGGGGAGAGAAAGAGGTGGGGGAGGGCAGTCAGACCTGGGGTCTGCCTTTATTAGGGTCCCAGGGAGGGATGCCTAGGGTTATTTGGGTTCACTCTTTATTGGATAGCTTAAAGCATGAGAGGGAATTAGGGTACCAGGAGGAATAAGTGGGGTCACTCAAATGGTTAGGTATCTAGATCAATCAGGACTTTCTGAAAGAGGGACCTTCATGGGTGGGGTAGCCTAATTCCTCATCTTGGTATGCTAGTAGCTGTGTCCTATAGCTGACCATATGTTTATTCAAGATGGGTATCTTCTGAAACGGATGCCTTGGTAATCAAAAGCCTCCTGAAACGACTGTCAGGTATTTAAACTGCAGTCAAAAAGCTTACTGCTAGGTACTTACTCTAGACCCTGACTTAGGAATCTTGATGTTTGCGACTTCATACTCACTCTGCCCTCATCATTTTATCAGTTTTGAAGACCTTAACAATTTTTCTTTTCAATAGTTTTATTAGTTATCTATTGCTGTATTGGATTGTCTCAAATCTGAAGGAGTTTAAAACAAATGTTATTTTCTCATTCAATTTCCGAGGGTCAGGAATCTGGGAATGGCTCAACTGGGTGGTTCTAGTTCAGAGCATCCCACAAGTTTCAGTCAAATTAAGGTTCACTGAGGCTGGAGGATTCACTTGCAGGCTTATTCCTGTGTTTGTTAGCAGGTGTCAGTTCCTTATCACTTTCATAGTTTACAACAAGGCAGCTGGCCTCCTAAGAGCAAGAAAAAGGGCCCTGATATTTTTTAATAATAATCTTAGAAGTGACTTAACAGCTCTTCTGTCCCAATCCATTCATCACATAGATCAACCTGGTACAGTGTGAGAGGGAAGTATAGAGGATGTGAGTGCCCGGAGGTGGGGATCATAGGGAGCCATCTGGGAGGCTGGCTACTACAATAGTTTTACCACCCTAATTTTTTTTTTCATTTCTGTCACCCTAGGTCAGGCCTAAAGTGTTTCATGCTTGGAGTGTTTGTGTGGTACTAGGTAGCATGCTCCCTCCCATTCCATCTTCTGAAATGACTTTCCCTTAGGGGCTACTTTAATTATATTGTTATTCCTCTGCTTAAGCATCATTTTACTTATTATTGGTTACATAATAACTTACTTTGGACCTCCCTGTGCTAAGTGCTTTATATATATTAATTCTTTCACCAGTCTTATGAAATAGGTACTATTATTAGTTCATCTTATGGATGAGGAAACTGAGGCACAGCAGAGAAATGAAGTAATTTGTTCAAGATCACGTAAGCAATTAAGTGAAGAAGCCAGGATTTATACATATCTTGCTTTTGTTCCGGCTCTCATCACCTGTTACTTACAGCTTCCATAATATGGCCATGTTTTATTCCTTAACTTTATAACTTTATTATTTATCTTCTAGGTCAAGTAAACTGCTCTTTTCACTGTATTGTACTTTCTTGTCTCTTGATATTTGCTCATGCTCTTGGTTTGGAGTAATGCCATTTCTCCCATTTCTGCTCATTGAAACTTTAATCATCTGTGAAGGCCCATCTCCAATTTCTCCTTTTCCCTAAATATCCCAGTTGTAAATGAACTTTCTGTATTCCTTTGTATTATTATTATAACCTTATGTCTTGTATTAGGTTTACTTGTACCTGTGCTTCCCCTATAATGTGGACACTGTAAGATTAGAGACTCACCTGCCATAATCCCTTGTACATATTAGATAATATAATGAATATCTGATGAATGAATGAAAGGAGAACTAGTTTAGAAGCTTTGCAAGTATTCTAGGTATGAAGAAACATGGGGAAATACCTTGGTCAGAAGACTTGGGCACAAACCTCAGCTCTACAACTAAGCTAATTTTGCAATTTTGGACAAGTTTCATAGATCATTCTGGATTCTTAAGATGAAAGTTGATAGGCTCATGGACTAAAAAGGTAGAATTTGGACTAGTATGGGGAAAGGACTGTATTGTGAGTTTATAAAAGGAAGATGAGATTTAAGTATCTGACATTGAAAGATGAAGGGGGGACAATCAACATTGACTCAAAAGTTGAACCTGTGAAAAAAGGAAAGGTTGAGGAGTTAGTTGCTTCTTACCTGGTGTTACGATACACAGATAAGTGAAATTTAAGCCTGAGGGAGAAATTAGGACTCTTAGTTGCTCAAAGCCTGGGAGTATTTTAGTTCATTCCTCCCTCCTGCCTTTGCCCCCTCATTGTCCCTTAAGGTGCTATGATCCTTATTTTCCCTTTTTGCTTTGTGTTCTCCCTTTTCTTGCTAATTAGCCAAGAGGGACCACAAATACTCCCTTTCTTTATCAGTTGCTTACCTTTTGATATTTTAGGGTTCTCCCTTCAGTCTCATAGTTCCTTTTGCATCCTCAGACTGAATTATAGCTCTTCTTCTCTGCACTCTTATCCCACTGAAATAAAGACTGTATCTTTACAGGATTATAAGGAAATAAAGGATAGTTATATTTTCCTGATGACACTTTTCTTCTTTAATTTTTTGGGGTCTTCATCACAGAAACTTTGTAACTAATGAGTAATTTGTGGGGAGATGCTTTTTGACCATGTAGATATCCTCTTCACCATCAACTGTCACCCAGTAATTTTAACATTCATTGATTTTCTAAATCCATCATTTGTTTATATCAATATAAGCTCATTCTTAGTCAGTAGGTCAAAATCTTTTACTGTCATTATTTATTTGATGCTAGCATATCCCACGTTTGTCTCATGAGAGCCCCTTCATGCAGGCTCATATGTCCTTTAGACACGTTCTCATTATTACTTGAGCACTTTCTTACTCCCTGGCTCTAGATATTTCAGGCTCATCTTGTATTTCCCTGTCTTATCTCTGGTATCACCCATTTCTTTAAAGAGCCGACTGACCTGGGCTGATTTAATGTGTTAAAGAGGTATTCTGGAGTTAAAAACATTTATATATAGGGTCTAAATAGACCAAATGATATTTTCCACTGTCTTTACTGTTTAAGATAACTAAGTGAGCTTCATCAGAGCTGTGAGGGGAAACTCCACACTGGTAGAGGGTAAAACCACACATGCCTCTCACACATGCCTGCTCCTACCATAGGAGTTTCTGTATGGGAGGAATATGCTTAGAGCTATTACATGTTAAAATACCACCTATGTCATGGTTGAATTTTTTTTTAATCTACATGATATTGAGGGGTTTTATTCATGGTTTGGCGATCAATTTACAGTACTTGAC